AGAATATACATTATCTTAACACATGTTAGGAGATGCTAGTTAGTTATAGTAGAAGGCTAAAAAATGGCAAGTGGTATGGCGACTTATGGAATTATTGAGAAAACTTATGGAGACTTATGGCCTCACTGAAGGTATAGCCCTTAATCAAGTAGAATTGCAGACCAGGATTTATGTAGCCAACTCAATTTGTTAAGAAAAATCTTTGATGATGATGATGATGATGATGATGATGACGATGATGTTGTTGTTGTTGTTAATATGAGTATAGATGATTAAACGAATACAGTAAAATAATTAGTCAGTAATATAATTATATATGATTATACATTTTTAGTCAAATAATTATAATATTCCAATAGTTTTTTAATGTAATTTAAGTATATCATATTATATTTGAATATGAAACATATTAATTGTAGATTTCAGTTTAATATAATTGTAGTTTCAATTAAATATGACATATGTTCTTATGGTAAATCTCATGTAAACATTGCTATAATTATATAATTACACCTTATAATTATGTTAAATAAATTGATAGCTAATTATAGTAATGTAGGTGAATAAGTAATACTATGTATTACTTACTGCTCTTAATATATTTCAAGAAAATTAATTGTTTGAGTTTTTATACAATTATACTGTTAGGGCATTTTGGACTACCCTTGAAGTCAATTTCGGTATAATTATTGCTTGGATAGAACAAAAAAAATAAAGACCCAAGAAAACCAAAACATAATTGCAATAGTTACAACTTTAAGAAACAAACATAATACCTACGCGTGTCTAAATAAATAAATAAACAATTTTCAAAACAAAATGAACCTCCAAAGGAGAAAAACTTCAATGATAGATGTCACCCTTCAAAATTATGGAAAGGAGATTCTTAGATAGAGAAATATGCTTAAATAAGGCCAAAATTATAGGAATGAGATGTCAGAAAGTAACATCTCAAGTAAATTATGAGAAGGAAATTATTATGAGAGATTCAAATATCTTTCTTAAAAATGTGGAAGTTCCTATATCCTAGGAAGCCGTCGAACCCATCTAAACTTTTCCCTTTAAAGGTTATATACCTCACATCCTCTACATGCATAGGGTCAATTTTTATTATTCGGACACATATCTACCCTTTAACTCTGTATAAATATTTCATTTATTTTTTGTATTAGATATTTCCTTTTTCTCTTCACATGGAAAATAGTAAAAATGATAGGAAGAGAGACGTATTTTTTACCTCGTCTAAAACTTCATTTACATTTCCATATCCACAATTGAAACTAAGGGGCATTCTAGTCACCATCATAAGATAATGCTCTGTAGGAAAAGGGCTAAAAATATTGTAAAATCACTACCTCCATCGTAATCTCCATTTTATTCCATGATCAACATCCACATCAAGGGGCGTACAATGCATAAAGTGCATGAAAAGATGTCTGTGAGTCAGCGGGCACAAGAGCCACCACCGCTGACTCACCAACGTCCATCTTCGTCCATCTCAAAGATGGATGTCGTAAAAAATCCAATGGGCTAAAATAAATATAGACGGTGTAAAAATATTTTTAAAAGAATTATATTTTAAATATTGAAAATTTTACTTTATTTTCATATTCATCATCATCATAGCCTAGGCCATGAATTCCTAAAATTTTACATTAAAAATCCAGGATAGATTTGAGAGGGCCCACATATGTACAATATGATTCGGCTGACTAATAAACCTCATCCTAAAGTGCATGGTCTTCCAAAAGAACCCATGCCGCATGTTATCCGAAGCATTTGCCCTCGAATATGTAAGAAGAAAGGGAGGGTCGGTCAAATTTAGGAAAAGTCTTTCATGCGGGCTAGACCGCATTTCTACATTATGCGGTCTAGAGGTATAGCATCCACTTTAAAGATGGATGCAAATAAGCGGTCCAAATGTTTTTTTGATATAATTATCATTTTTAGTTTTCAAAAAAAAAAGTCATATTCATGATCTCCATGTTAAAGATTATATACTCTATAAAAATTAAGATCAAATTATATTTAAAAATATATATTTATTGCCAAGCCCGCATTTCTACAATATGCAGGCTGGCTGCATAGAAACCTTGTCCATCAAGTTATTATAGGAAACAACAGCTAATGTCTATCCTATAGGCAAGCTTTATAAGTTTCACCTACAACATAAAACTTATACACTTCTCCCTATCCAACCATCCATTCTGAATGGAAGGTTAAGATGGCCCAAATCACAATGTCACATCTCTACACTATATTTTTAAATTTTTTCTATAAAATGTTTTGACACCAAATTTTGGGTGCCAAATCCTCTATTAAACTCGCAAATGTAAAATATATTAAAAAAGATTTCCTAATAAAATAAAATGACCAAAATATCGCTAAAAATTCTAAGAGGTATTTTGGTCATTATATTTTATTGAAAAATTGTTTTTAATATTTTTTATAAGTGCCCCAATGAGAAGATGATACGTACCAAATTTCATATTCATACAATTCATATAAAACAAATTAAAAATAAAATATCCTCAGACATCAGATCTAAGATCAAACGGTGGGTGACTCACTTGAACAAAATTGAACGGCTGGATAGTAAGGGAAGCATAGATCTTCTATATTGTAAATCTTTTATGCTATAGGGGAAATATAGAAACCTTTCCCCTATCCACCTGCTCTAAAAAGAGAGAATAGAAGCCCAACAGTCTAACCCAAGTTTATTGTGATGTTGAGATTGCGTTTGATTTTCGCTTAGTGTTCCCCCATACATAATATCATAATTGTATATGATATTTTATATGGACAAAGTGAGTCGGTTAATTCCTCATCTATTTGTCTGAGGGCT